GTCTCTCTCTGACTATGTCTCTATTATTATCTATCAGTGGCGAGCGGTGACTTTTTTAACCGGGTATGCTGAGTGATAAGGACACTAAAAAGGGATAACAGATGACAAATAAGAAACACCGTGGCAGGTGTCGAAGTATGCGCATTTCCTACCTTATTTGTAAATGAAATTCATCTCCAATCCTTCTTCTATCATTTCAGGTTTATCCATTGTTATTCGAATGCAAGAAAAATATAGCTGGTTTTCCAAGTAAAAACCGCCAAATAACGTTTACACGTAGTTACGTTATGATACGTAATCAGAGGGTGGGGAGATGGGGGATTCTGCCGGTCTATATGTCTCTCTGCATCAGCGAAATTAAATGTAATTTACTGCTTAGGCAATAACGTTGACAATAACGTATATCTTCAACATACGTTGTCTATGACCAAAAACGTAAGAAGATATGTTTTCAGTGGACTTTTAACATTTGCTTTGCTTGAGAAAATACAAAATATACAGTTAGTGTTTTTTTTTTTCTTTTGATTTAGTTGAGTTGGTTTTGCATCAAACACAATGTGTTTCTCGGCAATCGAGATCTGACAGGAACAGCACATATTTCCGCTTGGGCGAGCGCTTCGCGAACAGTTTACCTCGCACATGAAATCAGCCGCAGACCAGCAAATCACTGAGAATGCGCTATAATCCTGGCGAGTCATAGCAATAGAGCGGAGGCGAGAAAGCTGCGGAGAATCCACTCGCCCGGAAGCAACCGTAACTGGTAGATTTAAAGAAAATTACTGCTGTTTGGCAAATAAATCATTTTACGTACTTATTCCTAACTCTTTAAGCTTTAAGTTACATTTCAAATGACAAGGGATCAACTTATAATCGTTTATATGAATTATCCAGTGAACTTATTCTCTCAAATGGCCTGGGTATGCGGAGCATTCGCAGCTTATATGGACGGAACGCCACTGTTATCTATTATAATTATTCTCATAACCAGCCTTGGTGTCTTATATTTTTAGTGGACATTATGTCATTTGCAATCTTCTGTTTTCATAAAATTGCGCTAGGTAGCCAAAAAACTTGCAGCCTGAATCTTGCAGCAAATAGGGTAAAAGTACCTATTAAGCACACTTCCATATTTGAGCTCAGATTATAAAAAGAAAAAATAATGTATTATCATACTTGATGTCTTAACCAGTTGATGTGTTTGTTACTACAGTATATACCTCCTGTAATTTCAGGTCAGTCAGATCATTGCACACTGAGATATGAGTCTCCATGTGTTCACACTGTCTGGCGGCCATTTTGAAAGCTGTCTGAAAACTTTCACCAAAAGAGGAGCTCCTTAAATGTGCTTTTTTTAGATGTTTAAGCCTTTATTTTGGGTAAGTTTCACTACTTACTGTAAAATTAAGAGATCAATGTTTAGGCTTTTGCATATTATAACCTGGAACTTGGATGTGGGAAATAATTACAGTTAGATCCAAAAGCAACGCAGCGCAGATGCTACAGAACATAGTTAGCTGACTGGCTGTATAAAATTGTGTGCTATACTAATAATAATATAATAACTTCACAGGCATTACTGGCTTGTACTTTTAAATCCATAATATTATAAATTGACAGTCTATTGCTGGTCTGTGGTTTTATACTGCTGTAATTTTTAAAGATTTCATATTATTGTAAGGTGAGCTTAAAGGGTACACTACTATGAAAATCAAACAGCTTCAGTGTGACATCAATAAGAAAAAGTATAATTTCATAGATATTGTTAATAGTAGTTGTTCATAATAAAATATGTATGACCTTAATACATGATCTAGATTATTTGTTTTGCTAAATATTGTAATTTTAATAAATATTACATTAAATTTATAAAAAATTGTTGCTGCTCCAATTAAGCTCTGTGTGCTCTCTTTAAGCTCTTCTACATTGAACCTCTATGTAAATACTTCATAAACAGACTTTACATATAAACTGATGGTTGTCACTTTAAGTTAAGTTAATCGATTTTCTATGGATTCTGTCAACTCAAATCTGCAGACTGGCTCTGACCTTTGGCAACTAGCATCAACTTCTCCAGACTGTAAATCGGTGGAAAATCGGGGCAAAAATCGTGTAGTGTATTCCAGTCTTAAGAGACTATAGATAAGTTGGCATCCATAAGAGGCTTCATAATGAGGCTAGTTTCTGTGTTCATTCCCATGAATTAAATGTTTTATTGGTTTTATTTGATTTTTGAATATGTGTTACTTAGCAGACGAGTATATTTGTTGCAATGTGCTTAAATTATACTTCATTATGAATATATAACTGATCAAATTGGATGCCTTGTTGCCTGATTTTAGTGTTCAGTTTTTTTTTGTTGCTGTTTTTTTTTGTGATTGACTTTTTTTTTTTTACTTTTTTTCAATTATTCTTTAAAAAGGTTGTTTAAAATAAACAAGAATTTTTAATAAAACATTATGTGAGCTTAATGGGAACAGGGGTGTGCTTAAAGGGTACAAAAATTTACCCATTAAGCACAGCCAGACTTTTTGCATTTAATGATGTATATCTTAGTTGAAATGCTTTTGTCATTTAAAATAAAATTAAATAATTTTGTGTGAGAGATTAATATTTTATTTTAACATAACTTTTTGTACTGAAACCAATATCTTGTGCACTAAAAATGTCTCAATGTAGATTTAGGTGATCTTAATAGGTACATTTACCCTATGTTCTGATTGTCACTTGACCCCAATATGCACAAACATTTTTTCCAAAGATGTATCCTTGTGCTTGCCTGTGTGTAACTTACTTTACCATACTTTACTGGGGTGTTGTGAGTAGCTGACTGGATATTTCTGTGCAGTAAATCAGGTTTTCAGATTTTTTTAATGCGTTGCTAAGCAGTTGCTAGGAAATTCTGGGTGATTGCTAGATGGTTGCCTATCGTCAAGTCTTTCTAAATATGGCATCAATGTAAGTCTATGCAATTTGTTTTCCTATTTTATTGCCTGCCAGGAGGAAAATTAATTGCACACCTCTCCTCAAGAAGCTGTGCAAAAGGAGCTATTCATTCATGTTCCAAGCACAAACATAATTTTTAGCTTAATTTAGCTTGATTCTTTGGGGAAGGGGTTTGTTTAAATCACTTAATCACACACTCCAAGTATAAGCAATAGTTATATTGATGCTAGCTCACTAAATATAGAGGGCTATAGACACCAATTAGTTCTTCTCTTCATAGGAGAGCTACTAGTGCCTGAAGCACACGCTGAGATAGAACAGCATGAATGAACAGCTCTGCCCTCCTGACTGGATGGTCTAGTGATAGGCATGTGGACTCACTGGTGGGTCTGACCCTTCTCTAGGCTTATGTGCACGGCTGTAGAGGACTGGCTAGAGAGCATATTAATGCCACTTTGTCAGAATTAAGAGGTTAAATGGTTGTCAGGACTTCGTTGTCACATTGCCTTAGAGGACAAGGCAAGAGGAAAAGCCTATTAACAGAAGCACTCCTTTTTTTCCCCCTGTGTACCTCTCTGCCACTGTGTCGCTCATTTTCTTCTCCGCAGTCCCTTTCTCCACCTATCCTTTATCACCATGCTCTTCCCCAGCGTCCAGGCCTGTGGATTCCCGCAGAGAGACAGACATCTCCCACTAATCAGCTGGTGTGTTTCTTGTTCAGATAAATTAGAGCTTGTTCATCTTGAGAGGTATTTCCTGGAGGACGCCAACGCCACCCGACAGTATAACAGCCCCACGAGCCCCTGCTTAGTGCACACCAGCATGTGGCGCAGCTGAACATTCCAGTACGCTGATTAGTTTGAGAGGTTGCTAAAGTGTGTAGAAGGACAATGACATTAGGGCATACGGTCTTCACGCAAACAGCAGCACTCTTGTTTCAATGCTTCTTTCTGAATTGCAGATCCGTGGTATATTTTCACCTGCCAGCAGTGGCTGACAAAAGTGCACCTTTGGGTGTCCTTACCTCAAGGTGCAGAACAAGGTAGCCTTTATGCAAAAGAATGACTTGAGGAGAATGTATTATTCACATTTTGTCAGTCTGACCTTCATATTTTTCTATTTTTAATGAGCATTTTAACATGAATTCCTGTCCATTTTTACCTCTTTAGAGACTCCATTTTCTTGTTCTTTATTATCATGGATTGATGGAACTGGAATTAGGGGAGGGCCCTTTGTCTCTCAGGTGTGAAGCACGAAATATTCATGGCCATTGTCACTCCCTCGCATAAAGCTCGTCTATCACAAAACATTTCTTACAAAATTTAAATCAATATATTGTTTTCTGTGAATGAGTAAACAAGATGATTTTCACATCATTTTGATGTAAATATTCTAGCCTACAAGACTGATTACTCAAAAGTCTTATTCAGAACTATTCAGTATGGGTTTTATGGCCTTATTTCAGCTACATTTTTTCCCCCAAAACTTACTAACCACGCATAATTTTTTTTTTTTTTCTAAAAAATGCATAATGCAATGCAAACATGTATATCCATCTTGCTCACATATTATTGTAGCACAGTATGTGCTGAATACAAAAAAATGACATATTGGCCAATAGTATGTTATAAGTAGCTGAAATAAGCACGAATGTCAGGGCATGTCAAAACATCTCAGAATCACCTCAGACCCCAGAGGGTTAAAACAGGGAATAATCTTCTCATAAATGATGTGCTAAACAAGACTGGTTTTACTGGTTGTCTGCACTAGGGAACTTGACTTTAAATGGCTCTAAAAAAGATCTATGAGTCGTTGGGCATTTAATGGCCAGTCCTTATCTGGATTTAGCCAACAGCTGGAGAATAGATTCAACCACTGATTCACATCCATAATATCGTTCATGTACCACCAAGGCCAGTGCCTTTGAAATATAAATTGTCTTCGTTTAATTGGCCTGCACCAGCCTATACCCCAAATTTGCACACGATGTGATAAAGCACATTTAAAGGCACTTTTGTTTGGATTTTCACTTAACTGTTGTCTTATTTATCTTGTAGGAAAACCCCTATATGTGCAACAATGAGTGTGACGCAGCCACAGAAGAGCTGGCCCACCCCCCTGAGCTCATGTTTGACTTTGAGGGCCGCAACCCCACCACTTTCTGGCAGTCCACCTCCTGGAAGAAGTACCCTAAACCTCTGGCAGTCAACATAACCCTGTCATGGAACAAGACCATTGAGCTGACCGACGACATTGTCATCACTTTTGAGTCGGGTCGGCCGGAGCAGATGGTTCTGGAGAAGTCTCTGGACTATGGACGTAGCTGGCAGCCCTACCAGTTCTACGCTACCGACTGCCTTGACGCTTTCACTATGGAGCCCAAAACGGTGAAGGACATTACCCAGCACACATTGCTGGACATTATCTGCACTGAGGAATATTCCAGAGGTTATGTGTGGAAGAACGACAAGACTGTACGCTTCGAAATCAAAGACCGTTTTGCACTGTTTGCCGGCCCCAAGCTGCACAATATGGCCTCGCTGTATGGACAACTGGACACAACCAAGAACCTGAGAGACTTTTTCACCATTACTGACCTGCGCATACGTCTGCTCAGGCCTGCCACGGGCGCCACCATGGTGGATGAGAACAACCTTTCCAGATACTTCTACGCCATCTCTGACATTAAAGTACATGGCAGGTAAGACATTTAACTCAGTTGCAGTCAAATTTTGGCTGGGGTTTGTTGCCTTCGGCTCTTTTCTTTTATTCGTTTTCCTAACAAACCATTTCTCATTCTGTAGTTCTGTGTATTGGGAGGCAGGGTAGGTGTACTTCACTTTATATTTTTCAAAGAATGTTTTATGCATAGGCTTGATTTATTTAAACAGCTAGACAGAACTACAGTGTATTGGTCTTACAATTATTTTTAACAATACATGAAAAAGATCTGGGGGAAACATTTAGTGTAAGTGCAAATATGTACTTTGGTAATCAAGCAAAATCTACTGTTCTCATTAACTCTTTAATTTCTGTGTGTGTGTGTGTTTCCAGAATGAGAACCTTATTGAAATTAGAATGCTTTTTTAAATTGTTCTTCATGTTTTACTAAACTCTTGCATAGTCAAGAATTTTTGCAGTGTTCTGAAATATACTTTCTAATTTGATACCTTGTGATCAATCTCAAGACTGTGAAATTCACTGTTCTGACACCAAGGCTATAAACAGGAGTTCATTCTTTAATTATACACGTATCAGGGGCCATACCCGCCTCAATCTCATCCCACCTTTACATGTTAATTTCTTTTACAAGGAGACAAGATTAATTTTAGCATCTATCCCAGCCTTTTCATCACATTAGTGTCAGAGGTCAATAATAAGAATGCTAATTCATTCAAAGAAAGCCTATTTTAAGTATTTAATGTAGGTTTAATTCTGTCATTTTAATACACCAGAAATAATAATAATTTAAATAATGTATTATTATTTTGTTTTATACAATTTTTTAATAGTACATACACATAGTACAGCATATTCTGCACATTTTTTAGTAAAAAATTAGTAATCACATTGTTTTATTATAGAGGAATTAGACTGTGGAAAGTAGGCAGAGAAAATCTAATCTACAGTAAACTTTTCATCAGAGTGTACAATGCCGTGTGTTGAATGTGTGAATGTTTCTAAACCTGTTAGTGGGTGAAGATGACAGTTGATCACAGAAGGCTGTAAATTTTAAACCTCCCTCAAGGCTGTGTTCTCATTAATGGTGCACAGTGATGATCGGTGAGTGTCATCTCTGACGGATATTTATAAGAGCAGTGACTTGTCGTCTTGTTTCTAAAAAGGTAATCCAGAGTTCAGCAGCATGCTCGTTGTTGTGGGTTTTTCTCTGAGCCTCCCTGTCATGGAGAATCATGATTCATCTCCCTACACATACTCACAGGAAGCATACGCTCCTTCATCCCCTGAAATGTGTTTCTGCCTCACGGTGCGTGAGCCACTAGAGTCTGCAGGAGGCAGATGAAAGAAATGAGAGGAAAAGGTACACTTTGGTCCAGTGTCACACACTAATGTTTGTTGTGTGAAGATGCCATATTTATTAATAATGATTTAATATCATATTTTGTTATGAGGGTCAAGTATGTATGTTTTGGAAGAGTAGATTAATATCTAATATTATAAATACATTGGCGCGGCGTCTTGTTTGTGTGAGAAACAGTTCAAAAATAAAAATTAGGTTTCCTTCATCTGAAGTGACTTTGTAAAGTCACTGTAAAACCTGTTAGATTATAGACTATATTATACCTTCTATCTATTATATTCTATCTATATATTTATAAATATAAAGCAGTAACAGTATTTTAGTATAATTATATGAATTATATTTATTTAGCATTTTAAGTTGCATTTTTGTCGCTCAGTTAAATTAATTTAATATATACAGTATATATACACTGAACAAAATTATAAACGCAACACTTTTGTTTTTGCCCCCATTTTTCATGAGCTGAACTCAAAGATCTAAAATTTTTTCTATATATATATATATATGAAGAGTTAATTTGCAAAAACCGATAAATGCCACTTTAATAAAAAATGAGTTGATTGCCGTACATTATTCTCCACATATAGCGCGATCTGAACCGTAAAAAGGTTTTGTCAAAAAAACAGGTTTTGTCCACTTTCAAGGCATCGCAAGTTCACATTTTACTGCAGAAGCCAACAAGCGCCCTTGTTGTTTTTTAACAGAATCCGATAAGTCCATTTTAGTAAGCTTGCAAAAGCAGCGCGTTACAATGGTGAGGGAAAAGCTCTGTGTATTTCGTGTAATCACATCCATACAGTTTATGATCACATCAACAACAACGTTTGTCAGGCATCTACATTGCCATCTGAGGAGATTACAAAGATTAAACTAATAACCC